AAGGCAGGAGTGAATCGTTGGGCCATGATGAAGTGTTGATCTTTGAATTATGTCTGTGTGGCTAGCGAAAGAGGTGGGGTGTTCTCCTTCCTGGGTTCGCCGTGATGGTGCACACCCGAGAGCAGCAAAAACGCACGTACGTTACAGCGATAAGAAAAGAAAAGGTGTGCAGCGAGAGGAAACGTTGAAGGATGCGAGACGGCAGGCGTACCTGTGCCCTGAACACCAGAGTACGGGTCTGGATAGGCGTCAGAGGCATTGTTTTGTGTCGACGTGCGTGTGTTTCATCAACACCGCTGCTCGTTTCAGTCACCCATGAAAAGAAAAGTAGATGAGGTGCTTCTTTCAACGCCGCCACCGTCGTCCGGCTGAAGTGCGGCACGAGAGATGCAGCGCAACAGCCAGAAGAACGGGCAAGCAGAATACAATGAGAAAACGAGAAAACAGAAAGGGCTGAGAAAACAAAGAGCGAAAAAGCACATCGCAGCAGTGTGCACACATCCGTCGCTCAGAAGAAAAAAAAGAAAACGGAGGACGGAAATGAATGCAACGTAGGGGGCTCTCGACTTCGTTGTCAAATCAAATCGATTCAAGGCAAATAAAGGATCGTTGACTTGATTAAGATGAGGATTTGGGGAGAAAGACCGCCAGCGACTCAATCACGTAGTCGGGCAGTTCATCCGTGGCACCCCTCTCCATAAGTTCTGTCAGATCCCGCAGCTTCTGTGTCCCGCTCAGTGCCAAGGCTGTGCGAACGCCGATTTTCTTGCCAAAGCAGATATCCGTCATCAGCCGATCTCCGACCATCACCGCCCGCTGCGGGTCCACACGGCGCCCCTCCTGCGCCTCCTTCTCCATCAAAAGGAGACCCATGGTGGGGCTCGGCTTGCCGCACAGCACATCCGGCGCCCGACCCACCGCCGTCTGTACCGCAGCGACAATGGCACCCGACGACGGCAGCAGCAGCAGCCGTGCACCAGCCGGGTCCGCCGGGTCTGGGTTGGTCGCGACGAAGCGCGCCGTGGTGCACTGCAAGAGGGCCACCGCGCACGCCATCTCCGTCATGTTCATGTTGTAATCCACGCCGACCACCACCGCGACAGGATCAAGCTCCTTTAATGAAATCTTTGTCTTCTTCAAGGGGTGAGGGTGGTTGTTCTCGTCGGTGTGGGAGGGCAGAGGAAGAAGCGGCTCGGTCCACGCACGAGCCACCAGGTCGGGCGAGTAGGGGATACTCGTCAGTTCGGGGCCGTAGGTTGAGTAGCCGGCAGCCAGCATCGATTGGACTTCATTGTTCAGTCCTGATGGACCGAGCACGAACACGTTGCGGTGAATGAGGTGGTCCTCCCGCTGGGCAAAGTTCTCCTGGAGATAGAGGGCGCAGGTGTACGCGGCGGTGTAGATCTCATGCATCGCCACTCCCGCAATCCCCGCGGCGTGCAGGTGCCGCATGAGACCCTCCCGCTCCAGCAGAATTGTGTTGGAGATGAATCGAATTTGCTTGCCGGACTCGCGCAGATGCCGCAGCGTCTCGGGGATGTGCGGGATGACGCTGTCGCCCAACAGAACGACCCCGTCGAGGTCGAGCAGGAAGTAGTCGACATCGTCAAGCAGGTCGGCCACCTGAGCGTTCGTGGAGAGAGTGACGGCCATGGTGCTGGCCAGAGAAGCGAGGTCGATAGAGGGGTGCCTCGTAGCGCGTCAGGGTGGAACGCAAGAGAGAACAACTGGCGCGAAGAATGGGAGAGCAGCCAGCAGGAAGAAGAGGAATAAAAACAGACAAACTCACACGTGCTATCTATCAGGTACGGAAGCGGTGATGGCAGCGGAGAAGGAGAGAGAGGGGGAGGGGGAGGAGGAGGAGGAGGAGGAAGGCGATTTCATGGGTCACCTGATACAATAGCCGCCACGCAAGAAGCAAAGAACACAGAGGTGTTGCCAAGTGCGTTGATAAACGTCTCCGGCTCTTCAGCCACAGTCCCACACACGCGGGGCTGTGATACGAAGAAGGAAAGGGCTTTAATACCTTGACGAATAAATAAGTCTCCACATAAAAGTGCAGCTGCAAAAAGAAGGGAAAGAAATAAAGACACTTCATTCGTTGTTAATCGCTCTGTAGTAATCGGCGCTCCGTCACACGAACAATGACAGCGGAATTCCTATCGACATGCATGGTGCTGTGATGATAGCAAAAATACGGGTGCTGGTGCTGATACAGGTAAAACAAACGGGAGAAAAAGACGACGAAGTCAAGCCACCAGTGTCCGCTGTTCACCATTTGAAAGGCAATAGAAATGCCGCTTCATCGTGTCAGACGTGCTTGCTCTTGATGAAATACCCCATCGGTGGGGAAAGCTGATCGGGAATCCAGAGAACTACGAAGAAAGTGGGAAAAAAAGGAAACAAAGAAGTAGTATCAGTGAAAGAGGGAAAAAAAAAGGTGCGCGTAGATGCAAGCCAGCGTCGCGGTCGAATGCATACAAAAGGAACAATGCTCGGTCAGTGGTGGAACCACATCAGATATAAAACCTAAGAAGAAAAAGAAATAGAGCAGGGAGAAGCAACACAAACGCGGCAGTTACGACAGGAAAGAGATCAAAACATAAAAACGGGGCTGCACATGCGAAGGTGATCGGAAGCAAACCTACCCACAGAAGAAAGAAAAACATAGAAAACAACGACTACATCCACACTGGCAAGGCAAGGTAGAAAGGTTTACGATTCATTCCCGCTTGCATCGCTACACTGCTGTACTGGAGAGAGAGAGTAAAACAATCAAACAATGAAGGCCACATTGACGTCTTCGGATGCGATGGCGTAGACGCAGGTTAGAAAGAAAAAAGAGAAGAAAGGGAATTGAAAAAAAAAACTATGAACGCCTTCGGAAGTAGGACTATCAATGCATAGAAACAAAAAGAGAAGCTCATGAAAGAAGCTGTAGAGAGGAGGTTAAGACAAAACAAGAAAGAAAAAAGGCAAGCTTTATGATTAACAGGTTACGTAAAAAAACGAGAAGAAAGAGGCGGAGCACGGATGGCCGTAAGTTCCTCCACATGGCGAAGGAAGACGCAAAAGTGGAACCACAAAAGAAAGCCAAAATCCGAGGATGCGCCAAACGAAGACTGTTAGAAGAGAACAGAAAGAAAGCTGTCTCATGAAGCACTTTCTACTCGTCTGCCTGTTTTGCTTTGGAGTTCGTTCTACGCGTGGATGTAAGTGGCAGAGCCGTACACATCCGACGATTCCTCTGCGCAACGTAGCTTAAAATACTGTGGTTTCCTCCCTTGTGGCTGGTACACAAAGAAGCCACCTTGATGTATATCTACTTTACACAGGCGGTTTCTCCGGACATCGCGATCACGTGAGGACTTCACCACTTCCACCGGCTCGCAGGTATCTAGCAGCGCCTGATACTCGTCCGGGGAGGTGACTACGACGTTGGCGATCGGACCCACGGCACGCGGAAAGAGACCATAGAAGTTCACCGTTGGAAGCGCTTGCGGGAGGGAATCGTATTCCTCTGGCCGCACATAAAGCCTTCCGTGCCTCCGACGCAGCGTCGGCCCTTCATTTGCGTTTTCGTTAGCCCCTGTGCTGTCGCTGCTGTCGCGGCGACGCTGATGGCTACGAATGGCGCTGGAGGGCGCCTGCGGAGGAGTTCCGGCAGTCGACGCAGACTCAGCAGGATCTGTCGCAGAGCTGGTGGAGCTGCGGCGAGACAGGATCTTGGCTTCCTGAATTGCTGAGAAAGACTCTAGGCGGTCTGCAATCCGCTGGAGCTGTCGGAGAAACGGTGCTACGGTGGGCGCCGTCGGCGTCGTGACGGAAGTCATGCGTGCAAAAGGAAGGTGAAGTGCTGTTTTCTTGACGTATTAGTGCAACTCTTCGTGCGTAAAGGAGAGAAGAAGGAAAAGATGCGGCGTGCACACGAGTTTCGATGATCGAGGAACGCGAAAAGGAGGGACAAAGAGAGAGAGAGAGAGAGAGCGATGGATAGAAACGTTAGACATTTGGAAACTATAGTGAACGTAGCAGCTCCAACAATGACTCGGTGAAATCGCCAACCATGTGTCATGACACGGAAGCGGGGAAAGTTGAATCTGGAAACTGCGTAGTGCATCACGGACGCGACTGGTCGACCTCATCAAATACATATATATAGGAGGTTTACGGAACGTAACACGTAACCAATTCAACCCCCCCCGCTTTGTTACCGAAAGCTTCCATTCACTTCCTCCACTTGCATTCCGGATCGTCGTGTGATGATGTTGCTTCCCCTTTGTCATGTTTCCACTAAACCCGCGCTGCTGTAACTGTTTAAAGGGCAGCATGGGCAATTATCTTTTATAAAAAGAAGAAAGGGAGGAAGTTATAATACTAGTGCGGCACACAACAGAACACAAGGGCAAAAAACATTCATTGACGAGAAAAGAGAGGCAAAGGAGAGAAATGAGAAGAGAATTCAAGGGAGAAAGGGAAAAATACGAAAAGACGAAAAGAGGAAGAGCGTTCAAAGAAAAGCGCTCATCGAACGCGAGAAAACACGGGAGAGAGAGAAAATGTTATTGTGACCGCGCTAACCAAAGAAGAGAAAATACTTATATATATATATATATATATATATATATAGTAGTAAGCGGCACAGCTGCTGGCCTCGCCGCTGAAGTACATCCTGCTGGACATCGACGGCGTCATTTGGAGCGGCAGTCACGTTATCGAGGGTGTGCCGGCGACGCTGCGGTACCTGCGCTCGCAGGGCAAGGAGGTCCGCTTCCTGTCCAACAACGCCTCCCTCTCCCGTGCGCAGCTGCAGCAGTCCTTCGCCGCGAAGGGCATCGAAGGGGTGCAGGCGAGGGAGTGCTACAACAGCGCCTACGCGGCCGCGCTGCGTCTCCAGCAGCTCCTTGGCACGGCGGCCGCACCTGGCGAGGAGCCGCTGGTGCACGGCAACGTGTTTGTGATCGGGGAGCAGGGCCTGCACGACGAGCTGCAGCGCGTGCTGGCTCCGGGCTTCATCACGTACGGCGTGGAGCTGCACGACGCGGAGAAGGCCGGCGGCTACGATGCAGAGCTGCTCGGCGATGCGTGGCGTGTGCCATGCCTGCCCGCTCCGCTGAAGCGTCTGGTGGTGTGCGACGGGAACACGTGCCGCGCGACGCAGGCCGGCACGGACAACGAGGAGAAGATCTCCCTGACGGACCTCAACCCCGTGGCGGTGGTTGTTGGGCTCGATAAGCACTTCAACGGTCTCAAGCTCGCTTACGGCTCTATCATTTTGCAAGGACCGCCAGCTCAGCTGCGCAAGGAGCCCTACACGAGACCGCTGTTTATTGCCACTAATGAAGATCCGCAGATCCCAATTGGGAACGACAATTGCTTGGTCCCCGGTGCGGGAGCGATGGTCGGTGCTCTGTGCATCGCGGTGGGCCGCCGACCAGACGCGGTGTGTGGGAAGCCCCACGTGGACCTGGCGAAGATTCTCTTTGCGGCGGAGCAGATTACGAATCCGAAGGAGACGTGCCTCATGGTGGGCGACCGACTCACGACGGATGTGGCCTTTGGCAATGCGGCGGGGTGTCAGAGCATGTTGGCCCTGAGCGGGATTGAGGGGCTGGCCGACGTGGAGAAGGCGCTGAAGGAGGGCAACACGGCTCTCATTCCGGATTACGTCGCAGAATCGTTGGCGGTATTTTTGCCACGCTAGCCGGTGATTGTGGGAGAAGAGGAAGGAGGGGTGAAGGGTGCAAATGAACCATTTCCCTGTCCCTTTGGAGTGCTGTATCATACAGCCAGAGGGCCCACTCCGTCCTCTTCCACGGTCTTCCGCTCAAAACAAATAACCCCTCAAATTGCAACATGCGCCGTAATTTGCGTAATGCGTTAAACAATTCTTCTTTCAGAATCCGATACATATCGGTGCTTCTTGTTTTCTTTAAGGCACAGAGCGCATATTCAACGCAGCTCTTCCAACGGTTTGCTAAACAAGGTATAAATAAGTATCATAAAGAACTATCCTGCGGAGGACAAACCTACCCCTACGCTCGATCATATAGGTGTCGCAAGCCGTGCCTGCCGGCATAGAAAACCAGCTGAGTGCGTTGCTGCGATGCGACAGCGGTGCGTTACGCCCTCGTTGCGTGGCAATTCCTCTCTTGCGTTTTTTGGCCTCATTACTCCTTCCAAATTTCAGTTTCTGCAAAGGAAACGCCTAAGCAAAGAACGCGTTCCCTTCACTACAGCCAACCACAAAGGCCCCCCACACACGCACACACACGCACACACCATAACGTAATGCCCGTGAGCGTCGCCTCTTCCTCTGCAGTGGTGGACCTGTGCTCGGCAGTGGAGTACCTTCTCTTGGACATCGACGGCGTGGTGTGGTCGGGCGATGCCGTCCTTCCACGCATCCCAGAAGCGTTGGAATACCTGCGCGCGCAGCACAAGCAGATCCGCTTCATCTCCAACAACCTCATCTACAGCCGCGGCGCCATTGCACGGCAGTTCGCGCACAGAGGCATCCGCGGTGTCACGACGGAGGAAATCTACACCGTCGCCTACGCCAGTGCCCTCTACCTGCGTGAGCGGTTCGCCCAGACGGAGGATGGGTTGGTGCACGGCAACGTGCTGATCGTTGGTGGGCCCGGCATTCATGACGAGGTGCGCGCCGTTCTCGCACCTGGCTACACGACGTACGGTGCGGAGCTGAGAGACGTGCCTTATCGCCCCGACACGGTCGCGGCGGCAATGGAGAGTCCACTGCTGCCCCCACCAGACGACCCACGTGTTGCAGAGCTCTACAAAGGAAGGCGTGTGTCGTTGAGTGAAATGAACTTTGTTGCGGTGGCGGTGGGTCTCGACTTTGAGCTGAACATGACGAAGCTGGCCTGTGCGGCCGCGGTGCTGCAAAGCAACTCTAACGCCGTCTTTGTGGGCACAAACCCCGACCCTTCCGATCCCGCCGGCGCCAATCACGTTTTGCTCCCCGCCTCCGGCGCGGTGCTCGCTGCTGTGACGACGGCCATCGGTCACGCGCCGGACGTGATGTGTGGCAAGCCCAGTCCAACGCTGGGGCATCTGCTGCTGGAAAGGGAGGCGCGGGATGGCCACCGTGTGGACCCGCGGCGCATGGTCATGATTGGGGACCGTTTGATGACGGACATCCAGTTTGGAAAGGGCATCGGGGCGCAAACGGCGTTGGTGCTGAGCGGTGCGCAGAAACTCGAAGATGTGGAAGCGCTCGAAGCAAACGGCGCCGTAGACGAACTCCCGGACTTGGTGCTGAACTCGCTGGCGGACTTCCTCCCTCTCGGCGCTGCGGAGGTTGTGGGCAGCGACGTAGGCTAAATCGGTTTACTATTGTTAGGAGTGATTCGGCACTCCGCACAAAATTTATAATCCTCTTTCACTTCAGGTCTGCATGAAGGACTCCGCAGCTTTAGCACGGAACATCTGCTTTGATTGCAACGTGAAAGTTCAGCTTCGTATTTGCTAAGGAAAAGGCTCATTGTGTTGTTGTTATGTACATGACCATCATTTCCTGCCGATGAACACGCAGTACGGTCACAACTCCTTTTTTCTTTCTCCTTTCTGGTGCCTTTACACCGCCTCGACCGCACCACGTTTTCACCCGCATCTGCCTTCAGTGTTTCGCATCTCAAATTCATAGCCATCTGTCGACGCTTATACATTGCCCTTTGAAGGGAAAAGCGCGTTCTTCTATTTTGATCCCTACTCCTTGTGCACCTCCAACCGATAATAGAGACCTCCATCGTAGTGCCAATGCCGCAACGTGTGACGCCTGCGCAAGCGGCACAGCTGCTGGCCTCGCCGCTGAAGTACATCCTGCTGGACATCGACGGCGTCATTTGGAGCGGCAGTCACGTTATCGAGGGTGTGCCGGCGACGCTGCGGTACCTGCGCTCGCAGGGCAAGGAGGTCCGCTTCCTGTCCAACAACGCCTCCCTCTCCCGTGCGCAGCTGCAGCAGTCCTTCGCCGCGAAGGGCATCGAAGGGGTGCAGGCGAGGGAGTGCTACAACAGCGCCTACGCGGCCGCGCTGCGTCTCCAGCAGCTCCTTGGCACGGCGGCCGCACCTGGCGAGGAGCCGCTGGTGCACGGCAACGTGTTTGTGATCGGGGAGCAGGGCCTGCACGACGAGCTGCAGCGCGTGCTGGCTCCGGGCTTCATCACGTACGGCGTGGAGCTGCACGACGCGGAGAAGGCCGGCGGCTACGATGCAGAGCTGCTCGGCGATGCGTGGCGTGTGCCATGCCTGCCCGCTCCGCTGAAGCGTCTGGTGGTGTGCGACGGGAACACGTGCCGCGCGACGCAGGCCGGCACGGACAACGAGGAGAAGATCTCCCTGACGGACCTCAACCCCGTGGCGGTAGTGGCGGGTCTCGATAAGCACTTCAACGGTCTGAAGCTCGCCTACGCTTCTCTGACGCTGCAAGGGCCGCCGAAGTCTTCTCAAAAGGAGGGCGAGCCGGGCAAACCGACGTTGTTCATCGCCACTAATGAGGACCCACAACTCGCGGTCGGCAATCAGGGAGCGTTGCTGCCGGGTGCGGGAGCGATGGTCAGTGCTCTGCGCACCTCGATCGGCCGTGCGCCGGACGCAGTGTGCGGGAAGCCCCACGTGGACCTGGCGAAGATTCTCTTTACGGCTGAGCAGATTCAAAGCCCACAGACAGAGTGTATTATGATTGGTGACCGACTCACGACGGATGTGGCCTTCGGCAACGGGGCCGGGTGCAAGACGATGCTCGTATTGAGCGGGATTGAGGGACTGGCCGACGTGGAGAGGGCGGAGGCGGAGGGCAACACGTTGATGATACCGCAGTACGTCGCAGACTCCCTCGCCTGCTTTCTCCCGCAGTAAGTGGCAGAAGCGCAATTACGGTTGGAGATGAAGCCACGGAGTCGTTGCTGACCTTGTTTCTGGTCACTCTTTGTCTTTGGTAGGAATGTCGAAAACGAAGGCGTGACTACGGCCCGACGGAAATAACAGCACTTCTGCGTTCCTTTGTTTCTCGGTTTATTTACCTTCAAAAAGCTTTATTTGTCTAAATATCGAGCCTGACCAGGTCGGAAGAACTCCAAATTTGTTGGAAACGGTTGGCGTCTGAATGTGGCGGTCAGCTGCGTTTTTGCTTCTTCTGTTGTCGAGAGTCCGCGTAGCGTTGCTCCGTTGAATCGCACGAGTTCTTCCCTCCTTCCCTTCGGTCGGTTTTGAAAGGGGACGAGTAGCGTTCGATCCCTGCGTTTACTTGTTCCTCTCGCCGGCTCCTCTTTCCTCAACACCCGCTCTCTCTCCCGCGCGCGCGGCAAACGGCAGCAATTATTTCAATACTGCGACATCGAGTATTCCACGTTCGCCGCACACGGCTACTCTCAATAGTTTTGTTTTCTTCTGTGAGAAAACGCTCCCCCTCCGTTCAGCGCTCTTCACAGTCCGAGGAGTTCAAAAGAGGCGCTTTTCTTAATAATAGTAAACACACGAGTGTTGTATTCTTCGCATAGCCCTTCGCCACGCATAGCTCACCTTTTTGTATTGCTAGCTTCCTTGGTGTAACAGGAGTGCCTCGCCATGCCAAACCTTCTCCGTCTTGTCACCTCCACGAGCAGCTACCTGGCGGGGGCGGAAGCTCAGCAGCAGCAAAATCAACATCATCACTTCGGCCTCTTCTCTGGCCACCACCGGCACCACGCCTCCGCCAGCCCAATCGGCACTTACCCCTCAGACAATAACCACAGCCAGCGTCACAGCAGTCAGGGAACGGCCTCTCCGCCGGTTTCGTCCGCCCCGGGCGATGCGACGAATAGCGCTTCGCATAGTCACACCGGCAGCGCACGCCATGCCGCCTACCCGGAGGCGCTGCCGTCGGCTCTGAGTGCCCGCTTCACCGGTCCTGCGCTGGGGACGGCGGTGATGGACGAGAGCATGATACCCCTGGAGGATGCTGCCATTTTGTTTGAGATGGTCACCCCCGAGAGCACCCCGCTGCTGCAGTCGCGTGTAAAAGAACGCTTTGAGGCCGCCATCGACGAGGTGGTGGAGCGACGCCGGCAGGCCGCCTGTGAACGCGCTCGGCGAGAGCAGCAGCCGGGTATAAGCAGCAATGATGAGGGCAACTCGGAAGCGGTGTCAGTGGAGCCACAGGGGGGCAACGACACCTTCGGCTTCTTCACAATAGATAGTTCTGTTGCCTCTCCTGCAAGATCGGCTAACACCGCGCCGCATCAGCGTCGGCGTCGTGTGGTGGGCGAAGGGGGGTACTTCGTTTTCACGGACAGCTACCTCAGCGCCTACCCGAACTCCGTGGTGACGGGCGTCACAAGCGAATTGCAGCTCACCGCGGCGCCAGGAGACATCTCACCGTTTCACCACCGTGCGACGGGGCCCGGTTCGGAGAAGCAACATCTGCAAGAGGTGAAGGATTACATCCGTGAGGCGGAGCACGAGTACCGGCCCTTGTTTCGCCGTCGCACCTCGGCGAAGGTGTACGGCCGTGGCCAATACCTGCGCTCCAGCCCCCCAGACTTGGCGAGTAATGAGGTGTACTACGCGGCGTCGCTTAGTGATAAAAACTAGAAGCTGGACCACGAGATTAGTGAAGACGCGGCTTCGCCAAAACTGCGAAAGGCGTTTTCTTCTCCTCTCATTTTGTAGGTGCAAAACCGACTTCCGCGCGCTACTGCCTTTTTATCGTTCTTCGTTTTTAAAGGTCGCCCGCACGCACAGAGCGACCGATAAGTGTACCTAATAGCTAGGTAGCCGTTTTTTTTTCTTCGCATTTTCTTTTGCTGAGTGTGCTGGTTGGTACGGCCACAACTGCTTTCATTAATCGCGTTTTTATTTGTTTTGACTACCTCCCCTTCGTGAGCGTTTTACACTCCGATTCCAGCGCTGTAGTTCATCGTTGTTGTCTTCCTGTGGTGTAGGCCCCACCCCTGCTTTTCCTTTTGTACGGTTTTGTTATGCGCTGGAACTGTACGATTCTGTTCTTGGTTAATTGCTCTGGTGTATCCCCGCTGCGTTGTGCGCGCATTTCTCTGTTTTTCTGCTTCCATGCCGTCTTTCGGCGTGTTTCATTTGAGGCTGTCGCGTGCGGTGCGCACGCTTTCTCGTTTTAGGCTTTTAAATGCGTTCTCTACTGTTGCTTTTTGTGTCTTTAAAGAAGGGGCGTCGGTGTGCTGCAACACATCGGAAAACGCGGTCCGCATTCTTGCTGTCTTTCCTCTCTGCTGGCTCGGTCATCGCTCTGTGTTTTTTTCTTTCCTTCTTCTTTTCCTTTGTGTCCGTGATGGTGAGGGTGCTTCATGGAATGGTTGGCGCCGTTCATCCGCAGGTGTGGCGGTTCGTGGTGGTTTGTTGATGCTGTAAAGATGGACGAGGCGAGCCGCCGACACAGCTATGGTGGCCGAAGGCACCTCATTCCAGAGACACAGACACAGACACACACACACACACAACTCTGAAGCGAAAACAAACGGCGTTGTTTTTCTTTGGCTTCTTCTCTTCTCCCCCTTCTTTTCCGCAACAGCTCGAAACGGAGCATACATCGCTGTTGCCACGATTATGCTCCTGATGTGCACAGCGCAAGTTAAGACCTGAACGGCTACCTTTTTTTTGTTTTCTCGATCGTGTGAGATCTCTTTCTCTCCCCACAAAACGCCATTTCCCTCTATGCTTTATGTAGCGACCCGCAAGCCACCACCAACTGAAGCAACGAAGAACAAATAGCACGACTGTACTGCCATGCATTCTTGCCTCACCAAGCCGGTGCGCGGCAGGACCTTCCTTCTGGGCTTCACTATCCTCGAAAGCTATATTTCAACACATAAATATACTCCTGTATGTTCTCTTTCTTTCTTTTTTTGAAGAGGTGTACGCTAGGCGTTTTACTTTGCTTTGTATTCGATCTGTTTGTGTGTGGATGTGACGAGAATGGAGAGCGGGTAGGTGAGCCGAAATCTTCTCTCTTCTCTTTTTCTTCTCTCTCACTGTGGAGACTGCTGGGCTCGCGGCGCGCCGGCTGCGTTTATTTTTTTTTCTTGTTTGTGTCTTCTGCAAGCACAGATAATTGTATCTACCGGTACATTCGGTGTATCGCACAGGTGCAACGCCACGACCGTCGTTCAAGGTGCATCAAAGATTCCCCCAAGAACGAAAAATGGCCGATCTCCACCGGAAATGGCGCTGAAGAAAGTGGAGTGCGGGGAACTCGGCGATGATCGATTTCACTCCTTCATTGTGTTTTTTCTAAACAAACGGACAGACAGCAGCAGATGTTTTTCGTTGTGATGAACAGCTACATGCACCCACGTGGAACAGTGACGTGTTGCATGCCACAAGGAACAGTTTTTCATTCCCTCCAGTGAGTTTCTCTGTGCAGTACTTTCACTCGTTGAAGATGCCGGCGTGCTGGCCTCACGCATTTGCTTCTTTTCGTACTAGCGTATTCTCTCTCCTTCTCCCTCAGCGTCGACCTGTCACTCCTCCTGCTCACGTGCTCTCTTCTCCTTTCATCAGACAGGCAGCTTTGCCAAAATGACTGGCGTCGCCACCGACTTCTCGCCCCTGCTTCAGGCGACAACGTCGATGGCCCAGAGTGCCCAACATACACATACGCTCATCCACGCAAACATGGAAGCTCAGCGTCAGGGTGCAGCCGTGCACCACGTCGAAAGCTGTCAGGAGTTCTTTCCCTTTGACGTCACGATTTCCGCCACAGTCGCCGGCCCCCCTTCCAAAATAAGAGCTGAAGCAGGTAGCACTGACCCAAGTGATCCGTCGCTTTGCCTACTGCCCCATCAGCTGGCGGGTGTGCGGTGGCTGCTGGCCCTGCACGCACTCGGCCTTCACGGCATCCTCGCGGACGAAATGGGGCTCGGCAAAACGATCCAAATCCTCGTCTTCTACGCGGCGCTGGCGAGGCGTGGCCTTCTGGGCACCTACCTCATCGTCGCCCCCCTCTCCACTCTCGACAACTGGGAGAGGGAGCTGCACCGATGGCTGCCGTGGATGCACGTGACACTCTTCCACGGCTCGCACGACGAGCGAGCGCGTCTGCGGTCGCGGCTGCGCCGACGGCACCGTCGTGCTTTCCAGCACCGCGACCGGCTACGCGCGCAGTGGGCGGCCGGCACGCCGGCGACTGTCCTGGCGAGGGAGGTGGGCGGGGTCGTGCTGGCGAGCTACGAGTCCGTCATGGCCGACGGCGCTGCCCTCGCACGGCTGCTGCGGTGGGACGTGACCACGGTGGACGAGGCACAGCGCCTGAAGAACGTGGAGTGTAAGCTGCTGCGTGCCCTGCGCAAGGCAGACAGCCCCATGCGGCTGATTCTAACTGGAACGCCTCTGCAGAACAATCTGGAGGAGCTGTGGACGTTGTTGGAGTATGTGGCGCCGCAGCTGTTTTGTCACAGTGACATGTCGCAGCGAGAGGCACGCGAGGCCATCGCGGCCCTTTCCGACGGCTGTCACGCGTCGGAGGATGAGACGACGAGGTCGTTGTTTTCTTCCCCTGCACCGCCGGACAGCGATGACTGTTTCCAGCCGGTCCCGCGCGGTTCTACGGTGGACGCTCGTGCATCCAACGCGGCATCTTCACACGGGACAGACGCCGCGGCTCATCAGTTGCTTCTTCACTTGAGGAGCGCCCTGCAGCCGTTTCTGCTCCGTCGCACCAAAGCCTCCGCGGGCATTCGTCTCCCACCGAAGTACGACCTGTACCTCCCCACCCCCCTCACCGAAGCCCAGCAGGTATTCTACAATCGGGTGAGGGAGCAGGAAAGGTACGCGACAGGCCGTCTGACGCACCTGCGGAAGTGCTGCCTTCACCCTTTCCTGTTTCCTGAGTTTGCTGAGGAAGTCGCCCCCGGCGTATCCTCCGACACAGCCACCGGGGCCGGACGCACCGCGGCGGCGCGGCTTGACGCTTTGATCAGCCACTCGGGTAAGCTGCAGGTGCTCGACGCGATGCTGCCGCTGCTGCGCCGAGGTGGCCATCGTGTGCTGCTCTTCTCGCAGATGACGAGAGCACTTGACTTGGTGGAGGAGTACCTGTGCTTAAAAAACAAGGTAATTGAAGGTGAGTGCTCAGCCGCGTGCGCACATGACGAGGCGAGCGCCGATGAGGCATCCGGGTCCACCTCGGAGCCCTGCATGAGTGCCCTGCAGTCCCGCCTTTTGCTCTACACCCGGCTCGACGGCGCCTCCACCACGGAGGAACGCGGCGAGGCTATTCGTCTCTTTCAAGGCGGGCGTGCAACGCAGCTCGGCGCGGAGACCGATCTGACGAGCGCACTTTGCAGCCGTGCGTATAGAGTGGGAGGCTCAACGGTAGCTGCTGAGGCACGCCGGCACCACGCGGCGGCGCTGCAGACAAGTGCACGAAAGCGACAACGCACGTGCGATGCGCGCAGCTTTCTGTGTGGTGTTGCGGCCGACGACGCCATTTTCGAACATGCGTTTTCAAGCGCGTCGTCCGCCGTGGTGTCGCCGTCGCGTGGCCAGGAATATCCGCGTGGTATTCTACCCGACCAGTCTCTCAATGAAATTGCCGCCAACAATCCTTTGAAATCCGAAGGATGCGTAAAGCGATGCTACGCCAATCTCGTGCAGCGACCTAACACAAACGAAATGCCTCCCTCCTACGATAACGGATGTGGACGGTCACCCCACATCTCCCCCTCATCTCCAGCAACAAAGCCTACAACACCACACAGCGCCACAGTTGCGGAGCAGAGCGCACCACCACCAGGGCCCGTCTCACCCCCATCGTCGCCAGAGCTGTTTCTCTTCCTCATCAGCACTCGCGCAGGCGGGTCCGGCCTAAATCTCGCGGCCGCGGACACCGTCATCCTTCTCGACGGGGACTTCAACCCCCACAACGATTTGCAGGCAGTGGACCGGTGTCACCGCATTGGGCAGACGCGACCAGTGGCGGTGTACCGACTGGTGAGCCCGCACACCGTAGAGGCAGAGCGGCACCTGTGCATTGCCGCGAAGAAGATGAACCTGGATCGTTTGGTGCTGGAAGGACGCGGTGGGCAGGGGGGGCAGCTGAGCGGACAGCCGGTGGATGCAAGGGAGCTCTTGTCGTGTGCAGGGACGGCCTCGTCGGGAATCGCATCGCGGGAGCTGCAGCTGCTTCTCGACCGCGCGTGGCTGCGGATGAACTTCCCTGTAGCGTAGCGAGAGGCGCGTGGCTTTTGAAGAGATGCAAGGCGTTGCTTTGATGCCGACGGTGCCTTTGTTTTCTTCTTCACAGTGAAGTGGAGGTGGTCACCGCGCTGCTGCCCATCGGCGTTGTTCTTGTTGTTTGCTTTCTGATCTTTCTCGAAATTAGAATGCGGTGTAGACGCCACATAGAAAATCTCACGTACACGACGACCCTTTTTTTGTGTTTCGCTGAAGCCGGCATTGCGGATTTTTGCGGGCACGCTTCGACGCACCGTTTCTCCTCGCAAACGTCGTACCGCTGCACGTCACCTGCTTTTTGACGGTGAGTGATCGCCGCCACTACTTCTCTCTCCTCCCCCTTCTACTCTCCCGCTTTTCGTGTTCGCTGCCTCCCCTTCCCACTATTCGGTCCACGGACAGATCCACTGAGATTCTTCTCTGGCATCGTACGTCTCAGCGTTTGCGCTCTACCCAAATACGACTTTCTTGTGTTGCCTCACGCACCGACTTCACCACCATGCGCTGCGCCGCCCGCCTTCCACTTCTGTGTGCAGCACTGCTGCTGCTGTGCTCGATGCCCGCGTCTGCGTGGTGGGCTAAAGGACACATGGCAGTGGCCCTCATCGCGCAGCGCCACATGAGCGACGCCGCGGTGGCGAAGACCAACCTGTCGGCCAACGTGCTGTGCAAGACGGGCCCATACCCGAAGAGTCCCGACATGGTGCAGTCCGCTTCGTGGCCGGACGACATTAAGGAGATCGGGTTCAACACCATGTCGAGCTGGCACTTCATCAACACGCCGTACTACACCGATGACTTCCGGCTGCCTGTGTCACCGCTGCAGTCGGTGAACGTGGTGACGGTGATCCCGATGCTGCTCAAGGCGCTGAAGAACCCGCAGGCGACATCGGAGATCATTGCGCAGTCGGCGTCCCTGCTGATCCACTTCATGGGCGACATCCACCAGCCGCTGCACAACGTGAACATCTTTTCCCATAAGTACCCGAACAGCGACCTGGGCGGCAACATGCAAACAGTGACAATTGACGATGCAGGAACAAAGATGAAGCTGCACATGTACTGGGACTCCATCGCGGAGGGCAACGCTGGCGACGACGTACCGCGCCCGCTGTTCCCTGACGACTACAAGGATTTGAACAACTTCGTGGACTACCTGGAGGCCACGTACGCCTCGACGTTGACGGACGCGGACAAGACGCTGCAAGACCCGGCGAAGATCACCGTGGAGACGTACGACCTTGCGATCAAGTACGCGTACCCCGGCGCAGACGATGGTGCGACGCTGACGGAGGAATACAAGGCCAACGCGAAGAAGGTGGCTGAGCGCCAGGTGCTGCTGGCCGGCTATCGCCTCGCGCTGATGTTGAACGAAACGATGAAGTCGGTGAACACGAGTGCAATCACGGAGGGCATGAAGAACGTGGAGGCGGAGGTGCCAACGACAGACAACACGACACGCGTGAATCACTACGTTCAGAAAGGCCTCAGCTCGGGTGCGACGGCCGGCATTGCGGTGGTGCTCTTCTGCGTCGGCGTCATCATCGCTGCTATTGTGGTGGCGGTGCTTCAGCGCTGCGGTCGGACGAAGGACCAGATGGGCCAGTATCAGGAGCTTGGTGTTTAACACACGCGCTTCTGAATGTGTCTTCGAGTTTCTTTTCTATCTTCTTTTCTCCTTTTATTTCTTGCTCGCTCTTTGTCGGTTTCAATACTGCCGCGGGACACAGCGGAGACTCATCTGCGGGTTTCTCAGGTGTATTGCCGCCTGCGTCTCCGACGAAGGCATCTCTAAATTTCTGTAATGACTGCTCGTTTCTCCTCTACTTTTGAAAGGTGTTCATCCCCGTAAACATGACGCTGACACGTATGGCTGTTGATGAAAATTTATAATACATACAAAACAAAGGAAAAAAACGGTACTCTCTCTTTCTTCATATCATTCAGTTTTGAGGAAGTGTTTTTTTGTAAAGGTTTCTCCTCCTTAATTTTGTTTCTTGGTCTTTTTATTGTTCGTGTATACGAACGCCGCAACGTGTGTGAAGTGTGAAAGTGACGAAATGCGTCCCCGGCGCAGTGATGATGTGCCCAGCATGTCGTCCTCAAAATAAGGAATTTCTTCTCTTCGAAAACGTATTTTTAAGCAGTTTGTTTTACCTGCAAACAAACAAAAAACATATATATATATATATATGTACATATTTTTTCAATGAGGTTAGCGGTGTATTATTTGTTTTTCATTCGTTGAATTTAACCAGTAAGTTGACGAGGCAAATCGCCGGCACGTTGAAGGCACGCTGAACTTCTTCTGCAGCTAGCGGCACGAGGTGTTCCCAACACTGTAAGCCCACAACACTCTCCCTGTAGCTGGAAAACCGGATAGCTTGACCATTGGAGACGAGCCAGCTACGAAAAGAAGAAAAGAACCCTTCCTCGTATTTCTTGGTAAACCAAAAGGAATAACCTCGCCCTACAATATAGGCTACAAATATATATGTTACAGCTATTCGTCTTCATGGAGGAGTTACGCGCTACCGCAGATGAATTCGGTCGCAACAGCTTTTGACTGGCGTGCGAAGCAATACTGTAAAGGAACGGAAATGATGGCTTTTGAACCCCTACAGCCTTTGATGTGAGACCGGATTTACCGTTGCGTTGCAGCACCTGTGCAGTACAACGGAACGGTTGCTCAACGCATTACACTTTCTTTTGCGTTGTTGACGCCTGCGTGTCTACGCTTTCTTTACTTCTGCCTTCACTCCTCTTTCAATATTCAATCACGATTCCTTCTTCTGCTGAGTTCCTTAAAATACCCCTCTGCAGACCGCACATCTTATCGCACTGCTTCTTTATCTGAGAATGTCACGAAGCACCGCCGCCCTCCCTGCGGGGTGCATCCATTACCGCTCCCTCGGTGTGGCGGCCATCGCCATCGCGGGCCTGCCCACCGCGTGGAACATCGTCGCACGCAACGAGTACCATCGCCACACCATCGAGAAGCTCGTTCGCGACAAACGGCGCGGTGCCTACCTGCTGGCTGTGGCCATCTTCCTTGGCAGCAGCCTGCGTGACTGGGCCTTCCACACCGCCATGACGAACACACCCAGCTCGGTGCTGCCGCTTCTCTCCGCGGAGGTGTTTGGCGCAGAAAACGCTGTGGCGGTGCGGAAAGCGATGCGGTGCGTTGGCGGTGCGATGATGGCGGCAGGTGTGACGCTGGTCGTCTCTTCGTTTGCGCGGCTCGGGGTCACCGGCACGTATTTGGGAGACTACTTCGGCATGTTGATGACGGAGCGCGTGACGGCTTTCCCGTTCAGTCACTTTGAGAATCCGATGTACCTCGGTGCCACGCTGAACTTTCTGGCCGCCGCGATCGCGGAGAACAACGCGGTGGGGGCGCTGCTGACCGGCTGGGTGGCTTTGGTCTACCACGTGTCGACCACGTACTTTGAAAACCCCTTCACATCGATGATCTACAGCAAACGGGCGGCGGAGCAGGAGGCAGCGAAGGCAGCGGCGACCAGGGCGTGAGTCTGCGATGCTGCTTTTGATTTTCCGTTGTTGCGTCAACTGCGTCTGTAAACTCACTGCACCTCTGTTGATGTGTGTGCGTGTGTGTTGTTCCCAGCAACGTCACGTTGTATGTTCTGCGTGGGGGTGACGTACCACAATTGATATTTATCTAAGAGGGTAATCTAGCGTAGAGCAACGACGTACACCTGTTGAAGCGGAGGAGCAGATAACGATGGGGCGAGACATCTATTGTTCTCTCTTCGTGACCATCTAGGTCATCGTGAATTCTAGCGTTCCATCGCTGGCGCACCACGCAATGTGCTGCTCTGCTGTGCTTCTCTCCCGCTTCGCTTCTCTGCCATTTCATCCTGCTCAACCGCGGTACCATGCGAACGGGTTATTCTCTGATAATCTTGCACAAGCCCTTTCCCACATGCATCCACTCTACTCTTGTTTAAAGCTTCTTCCTTTATTGGTGGCAGTGCGAGCTGTGGCCGCCTTCTCTGTGCCACTCTCACCCCGGCGGCGAGGCGCGTTGTGTTATGAGCTGCGCTTCGCTCGCGTCCCACAGGCACACGAATTGCGGCAGCCCTCATCTTCTCCATTAGGCTGTCTACAGAACTACCCTCCGCAGAAATGAATCTTACTTACCTGTGTTGTTGCTCCGTACCACTTACGGTCTCTCCCACCGCTCGCCTTCATCAGGTCGCATCTCCTATTCCCGCATTAGTCACCGGCACCGCACTGGAAGCCATACAGGTTGGTTTCACCCGCTACAAACAATCCTCATCCGCCACCCCCTCTGTGCGCTCTCTTCTGTATACGTGTATAGGACATGGCAGCCCACCTCTTCTGCGAGAGGCTTTACGGTGACCATAGCGCTCCTGCTGTTCTGAAGGCACCACGGTTTTCAGAAGGTCTGTCGTGGTCGTGTTACGTGTGTCCGTGGTGATCGCCGGACTAGCTGCTTTTTTTCATGGGACTCAACACTGTCGTGGCCGGTTTCCTACTCGTTCTGTCAGTCTCGCGCATGCGATTCGCCTGCTTCGCTCCGTGAGCACGACAGAGGATGCGCGAACCAAAAACGTTTTGTGGACAGATCCCTCAAGGTCCGTCTCCGCAAGATGAAACGCGTGGTGGTTCATCGCTGCCCGACTGCGGGGAAGGAACGTACTCTGTGAAACTAGGTCATTCCTTCTGTGTGATGCCGGAGAGCGTATTGCCGACATCGTTGCGGTCGCCTTCTCTGGTACTTCATGAGAGGTTGCTGAACCGCACACGCACACACACGCCTCTCGAACCGGCGCTCGACTCTTCTCGTTTCCGTTGCGTAAAACCGTTCACGGATGGGTGAATTCTATCTGCTATGTTTCGCCTTTCTGCACCGCTCCCCCCGCCCTCATCAGATCAGCTACACGGCACGCGAAAAGCACACCTGTGTACAGACTTCTTTCGTTTATAACATTTCTTTTTTTTAAAGTCGTTCCGTTTCTGCTCGCCTTTTGGCAGGTCAACGCCGTCATCGTTCTCTCTTTCCCTCTCTCTTCCGAAAAGAGAGCGATAGGCTGTTGTGGTTGCCGTTCATGTCCTTCGCCTTTCATCGGACAAACTGCCGAGGCATCGTACGCAACAGCGCATTCCTCGGCCATAGAAACACTTGTGTTTCTCTTTTCCCACTTCTGCTCTCTTAGGCTTCGTAGCCTCTAGTCGTATATGATCACCTCAAACACGAAACGTGACTCGTTTGGGATAGCTGACGAGCACGCCGAATGCACTAGGAGCATCTCTCCTCCGTTGCAGGACGTCGTTGCTACTTTTGATTCCGAGTTCGTTGTCTGTAAGTAGCGATGAAACATCGAAGGAAGGGGTGGGAGTCACAGTGCGATTTTCGTGGCGCTGCTGCTTTGAAATAGTGATGCACCTACTGTTTAAAGGTAATACGACGTGCGCTGCCCTTTCATTGGACGAGCTCAGCGCACGCGTTCGCCATTCATTCACTCGGCACTTCTTCCTTTTCTTCTCATCTCTCCCGGCGGTGCATCTTCTCGCGCAGTCCCTCGCGCAGAAGAGCCTCAACCCTTCTTTGCAATCTATCTTTTGCGTAAACATAGGTCTGTGATTGTTGCCGACATTGTTGGACTTGGTTTTTTAAAAGTATTTTATTGCTTCTTCTCTGTTCTAACGCAATCATGGGTCAGTGGCTTGCTTCTGCATTTAGCTCGCTGCTGGGGAAGCAGGAGGTGCGCATTGTGATGGTCGGCCTCGACGCCGCTGGTAAGACCACTATCATTTACAAGCTAAAGCTAGGCGAGGTCGTCACAACCACCCCGACCATCGGCTTCAACGTCGAGACGGTCGAGTACAAGAACCTGAAGTTCACCATGTGGGACGTCGGTGGCCAGCAGAAGCTACGCTCGCTGTGGCACTACTACTACCAGGGCTCCAACGGTGTCATCTTTGTGGTCGACAGCAACGATCCGGAGCGGTTGTCATTGGCCAAGGAGGAGCTCGATAAGATCCTCGCCGAGGAGGAGCTGCGCAACGCCGTCCTGCTCGTGTTTGCAAACAAGCAGGATCTGCCCAACGCGCTCACTACGACGCAGATCACAGAGAAGCTTGGCCTCTACAACATCCGTCAGCGTCGCTGGTACATCCAAGGCTGCTGCGCCACCACGGCTCAGGGTCTATATGAGGGGTTGGACTGGCTCTCAAACAACATATCGTCCTCTATGCAGTCGTAACGCTGGACAATAACAATATATAAAGGAGGACGGAAAGGCGTGACTCCCGGTGTGGGGAAGTGTGGAGGCGCCTCACCTGATCGGTCTTCCTTCGAACCCTTGGTGTGGCGCGTTTACTCTCTCTTGCATTTATCCTCATTTAATAAGCACAGCCACGGTTAGTAAAAGGCTGTTGTTATTGGTTTTGTTTCTGTAATGGTAGAAGTGGCGGTGCGTGAAACTGATGAACCGAGTTGTATTCGCCTTTGAGTTTTTTTGTTTTGGATTTTCTACTTGACCCGATTCCTACACAACAGCTGACGCGACTGGCGGTAGCAGCGTTGCACCGCAGCTCCCTTGTGTATGTTCCTTTCCTGTTTGACGTAAATGAACTCGCCGTTGTTGTTGTTGTTTTTTTAAGTAAGCGGACAAACTTGGATGAATTCCTGACGCTGGGAGGAAACAAACGAAAGCACCGCACTTCTTCGGTGTGAGGTTCCTAGACGGTTTCATATAGTACTTTGGTTACGTGGCGGTAGCAACGATATGTCTGCGGCTAGTCGTATTCTCAAACGGTGTTTCGGAGTCCTTGGACCTTTCTGATCTTGGTTTGGTTGGTTGGGAGGATGCCGGCCACCATTGTGTCTCTTCGTTCCCTATTATTTTTTACCTCGTGTACTTCTGACGTTAACGATAACGGTGACTAGGCTTGTGCGTGGTTTTTCTGGATGTGTGGGCTTTCTGTTCTTGCTGTGTGTGAGCATGGATCTTTTCTCTAAACCAAACCAATATGCCGTACGTAAGAGCGGTGCTTCCGCCAAAGGCAGCCGCTCTTTATATAGATAGATATATAGACAGATCTTCTATTGCAGGAAGGAACGCGTTGGTGCTGCCTTCTCCACCCGAAGGCTTTTCTAGTTGTTGTCATCGTTGTTTCCTAGGGCCGTATAAGCGGTAAGTCACGGATGTGGAGGAGATACCAGCAAAGATACGGTGCGACCTGCTCTGCTGTTTCCTCCGTGGAACGGGGAGGCGTGACTTCACGAGAAACCGGGCCTTTTCTTGTCTGACGCGTAGAGCAGTCGAACTACGTGTTTTCTTCTCAGAGCTGTCTCCTTTTTTTTTCTTCGCTCACTTCAGCTTTCTGTCTCTATTTTGCTTTCAACCTCGCGTTCTCGCGCTCGAAGGTATGATTAATTGCAGCGAGTCGTACTCTGTGCACCTACGCTCTACCATCAATACTACCTTCTTTTTTTTTTGTAAAGATACACACTTTGTTTGCTATTTTCCGTTCTCTTCGCTGCCACGGCATCATGTCCGTCGATCCTGCCATCAACGCCGCGCTGCTGAATATGTGTGCGCAGGTGCAAGACAGCGGCGGCAACAGAGCCCCGTCAGCAGGCACGAGCACCGCCGGCGTACCGGCGTCCTCCACGCTGGCCGTTGCTCCGAGTACCACCACAAGTGCTCTCGGCACGAACAATGATGCTACTATTAATAAGAAAGGCGACAACAGCAGCAGTCGTGGCGCACCCACACCAGCTTCCCACCTTGCCAGGCCGGCATCCGATTACGCGTGGTTGCGCGACGCACTGGCATCCGTGGAGTCACCTGAAAAAAGAGTGAAGCAGCTACTCCTTCTCATGGAAAACAAAGCCGTTGACGGAGGCGACAGTCCGGTGGAAGTAGCGGACCGGCTGGAGGCGCTGGAGGAGCTCAGCGACATGGTGGAAGACGTGAACTGGGCGGCAGAGTTCACCTTAATGGAGGGGCCGCAGCGCGTGCTGCGTGTGCTGCGTCGAGAGCGTTCCGCGCACCCCCTCACCACGATTTCTGACCCCCTCTCACCGGCGGAGGGAGAAGCAGCAGAGCCACCCGGCGAGGTCACGTTAAACTCCATTTCTTTATACACGCAGTTGGCGATGATCATTGCCCACTCCTCACAGCTGAACGAGCCGGTGCAGGTGGTCTATTGCGCAGCGCACTGGGAGGAGGTGCTGCTGCGTCTAGTGTGGGACACCATCAAAGCAGTGGAGAAGGTGTGGTGTGTTCCGACGCGAGTCGATGTGGCAGTGACAGCGGCGTCGAACAATGCGAAGTTGATGAGGCTCCTGGCAGCTCTCCTGCACGCCTGCAGCTGCCTCTGCCGGGAGTGTCCGCCCAACACAATTCAGTTTCTTCAGCACGGTGGCTTAGCGGTGCTCGCAGCGGTGCTGCAGCTCACGCGGACCGTTGTCTCCACCGTGCCTGCCACGTCAGCTGCTGGCGCACCGGGGGTGGTCACCACCATCGACGAGAGCAATGAAGGTGACAGCGAGGATTACGCACAGGTCGTCGGCGGTGCGAATAAGGTGACTTCGCGTGTCCTCTTCTTTCTTCGTTATCTGGCTTCTACGGGGGTCTCGAGCGAGGAGGTCATCCAGCTGTCTTGTCAGCACGCGCAGGAGAATGCGGACGAAGCGGTGCAGAAGGCTGTCGCACAGGAGTTGTTGGAGCTGGTGGCGAAGAACCCGAAGATGATTAAGGAGGCGGTGCACACGCACATGCCGAAGCGCTTCTACGAGTGGAAGAAGCAGCTGCAGCACATGGTCGGTGATGCTGCCGAAAGCGGGAAGGATGAGCGACAGCGATTTGTGGAGGCCCTCGACGAATCCAACTGAACTGTTGGTGTCCGAGGCGATCAATACGTGTGAGTGTTTTATTGTTGTTCTAATTCTTGACTTTAATCAAACGAGGTATCCGAAATTATCATTACCAAAAGGACGAACTTTTTTGAAAGGATGAAGTGTCAGACTCTTGACGTGTATCTGCACTGCTAAGCTGCACGCAGAGCGTCGAACTGCATCATCACGTTAGTTCGGTATCTGCGATGATCAGCACTTGGTTGATTGTCTCTTACCTTGGGCTCCCTTTTCTCACGCAAAGCAACTGTTCTCTCGACGACCCGAAATTTTAGTTTTTCTTAATACATATATATTTCAACGTCACTCAGCGGTCCGGGAGAAGCACCCAAAACGAAGCGCCTCTAATAGAATGACTCCGCTGCGTGTATGGAATCCGACGCTCTGCACGCTGCAGTTGGTGTTTAGTCGGCCGGGCGGCTCGTCCGCGCCGATCCAGGCCGGCTCCCCCTATCAGGGCACGTCCGTCATTCGGTACCGCCTGCAGTCCCTCACCGAAGAAGAGGAGGCGGGAGTGAACTCGGTCGCGAGCGGCAACGACGTCTCTTCCTCGTCGTTCTCGGAGTACGAGGAGTTCCTCCAGCATCGACGTGTCGTTGCGGCGAAGCACGCGCTGCACCTCCATGCCCTTACCACCGCTGGCGGGCTTTACCAGGATGCATCGCCGCTGCAGGTGATGAGCTACCAGGTTCAATGCGTGTCGTCCTCGCCGTCTGGAGGTGGAAAGGGTGGAGTGCTGAAGGTGCTTGCCGTAGAGCAGATGGACGCCGGTGCGGCTGCATCGACTTCCAACAACGGGAACGGCGATGCTGTCCCTGGACAAAAAACAAAAGAAAAAGGGTAACATGAACAACAAGAGCAGCACGGCGGCGTCGAATGCCGCTGTGGAGAATGCGTCCGTGGACTGGGGCTCCAAGCTGGTGTTGTTTGAAAGATGCGACACGCTGCCTCTCCACAGTGAAGTGGAACTTACCGTGCAATTCACCGGCACGGTCCAGGCCTTCGATCACGGCGGCATCTACGCCGCCAGGACAGAGGGCACGAGCAACTCGGCGGAGGACCGAGCACTGCTCACCCACCTCGAGGTCCGCTTTGCCCGCTGCGCCTTTCCGTGTCCCGACGATCCGCAGTACCGCCTCGACTGGCAGCTCAAGAGCGTACAACTCCCGGACAGCTACACAGCCGTGCTGACCAACGGTGAGGAGCAGGGGCGAAGGGCGTTGACGGCGCAACGAGCGGTGCAGCGAAGCTTTGCACCCTGTGGACCACTGCCGGCCTACTCCTTCTCCTTTGCGTGTTTTCCAGAGCCGCTGGAGGAGGTGGCATCAACGATGGCGATTCCTGAGTTCGCTGGTGGCATCGCAGAGGGACTGCAAAGTCATGCAGGTACGATACCCTGTGCCACGATTCCGGTACGAGTGCTGGCGCGTCGTCAGGCTCGTATCCCGGCGGCGACGCTGGAGCGCGTTCTGCACATTACAAAGGAGGCCGTCGCGACCCTCCAGCAGCGCTTTGACTGCCCCCTGCCGCTGCTTCAGTGTCGCCATTTAGACGTCTTGCTGGGGCCGACGATGCCGTTCATCTCTGGCATGGAGCACCACTGCTGCATCATCCTCAATGAGACGATGTACCAATCCGGGAAGAAAGCCTCAGGTGGTGGGGGTAGCGCAGAAGCGGAGCAGACAGAGTTGATTATCCATGAACTGGCGCATCATTGGATGGGCAACGCACTAGGGCTGCCTTTCCCAGTGAAGGAAGGTGTTTGTCAGGTGTTGGAGCAGTGCATCGGGGACACCCTCTTGGGGAAGCCGATGCGCAAATTTAAGCCCGACAGCGCCGCCGTTGCTCCTGCTGGCGCCACAGGCAACCAAGATGCTGCCGTCAGCACCAAAACCAACCCAATTTCCCAGATGATTCAGGCCGCTGAGAAGGGCCACGAATTCACAGGGTCGTCGTACCAGCAAGCCCTGAAGGCGATTAGACACTTCGTCGCTGACAGAGGCTTCGCGGTGTTTGAACGCTCTCTCCGACACATTGTGCACGCGCAAGTGTTACTCCCCACCATCGCCGTGGAGGAGCAGGGCGGTACTCAGATGCTGCGCTGCGTTGGTGGTGACGTGCCCCCTCCTCCGTATTTGAGCACCGAAGCCTTTTTGCGCTCAATGAAGTTGTTGTCGTCGTAGGTGGGCTGTCTCGGATGTTGTGGGGCTCCGCTGGTGACTAAATCAGTAGTGCGTCACATCAACCATTTACTTCTGGTGAAACTGATGATGCACGCGTAATTGTTGCGTGAAGGGTCAAGATGTGTGTGTGTGTGTGTGTGTGTGTGTGCTGTAGCTCTGCACCCTACTTGCTGAAGACAGCTGGGTGGCTGACTGGCTGTTCCTCTGTCTGCTCTCTGCGCTTTGTATCCCTCTCGCTCCCAATCACGTCACCGACCGCATGCACTACCCTCAATTTTCCGCGCCTGGTACTTTTTCCTTTCCCTCTTCGTCACCGCTTCCAGTTCACACCGTTCTGACACACAGGCCACGCTGCT